AATTAACAAACGGAGACGTAACAGTATTTACAGAATTGCACAACTAATTGATTGAGTAGCTGAATAGAGGCGATAACTCTCCCTACTAACCGTGATCTGAAACACTTGATAAATATATCACTGATTTCGTTTGTTTGTTTTGAAGATAAGTACAAAGGGCTATCTGTGCTCTGCCCACCACGGATATCGAAACCCGATTTCTAGCGTTGTAAGTCTGCAGACATGCTGCTGTGCCACGTGGGGGGGGGGGGGCGTCACTGATTTCTCACAAACTTCATTAGCTGAATTCTCATATTTTATAAATAATGTACCGTCGTCTCTAGATAAAATAAATTCTTCTCGGTTGTTATATCACCACGGTTAGCAGCTATCTTCAGCAAACAACTAAATTATAAAATTCAAAATAAAGCTTACAGCAATATATATATATCACTTCTGAGCAAACTGAAGAAAAGTGAAAGCAACAAAGAACAGAATTAGGTTAATATTCTATTAGCCCTGATAAAAGAACATAAGTCATGACACATTGGTTTTTCTTGTGAATTTTATCATTTTTCTGGATTTTTTTATCTCCCTATCTTGGGTTCAGTTATAGAAATTTATGTGCTTTTTATTCAGATTTATTTCAGCAACTGACCACAATTGAAAAACTGTAAGCTCCAAACCCTACAAATATAATGATAGAAATAACTTTGTTAAAAAAAACATACGAAACTCAGGATTTACCCGTTTTCATTTATTTTCTGCTATATTTTACAGTTTTTCTCCTCAAAATTCAATATTATTGACCATGCACCAAACATCGCACCATGCCTTTTCAGAAAACTAATAAGTAAGGTTAATTTACGCGACAATTACAGTGATCACCACCCTTTCTGTTTAACCAGCGGGTGAAACGGGACTTAAACTTTGAGATGTAGCCATTCGATTAACGATAACGTGTATTCTGTGGGCAAATGTTAATTTTAAATTGTTCCCATGGGCCATATTAGGCTTTGCATAACATTAATTATTTTGTGCACTAAATAATAAGGTGTACGTGGATGTTTTGTGATTGCTTTTAAAAATCATACTTATTTTAAAAACTTTGCTATGGACCAAAACGAAGTTTGGTGTGAGCGGTACCTTAGATTGAGCCAGTTGCACACTGATATGTATGAATATTATTTGTTAAAAACACAAAATATTATTATAGAAATGTTATTAATTTAGCATAAACAGTGTACTAGTAATACTTATAGTTAATATCGGACCTGCTAATTACATGTGCAGTAAGGTCAAATATTTTTAGCCACAAATATATTGTAATTTTATTTGCATATACTGTCAAAATAAAATACTATGAAGATTGAGCCGTTTTTAACTTTTAAGTTTAACGGTCTTATCAGCTCATCACAATATCTTTTGCTTATATTTTGTTATATAATAAGTTTATGATTATTTTTATTTCCTATTTTTTGTTGTTATATATATATATATATATACATCACCACAAAAAGCCTAAAGTACCTTTTCTTATTCTCATTTTTAAAAGTTTCATACGCAAGTTACTGTAATTTGTAAAGCACTTCACAACAGGATAATACAGTATATTTCGATTATTTGCCCCGGTTATGTAATATATTTGTGTTGTCTTATTTAGTTACTTTACCAAGTTTAGTTATTTGTTTAGTTTGTGGTACTTTGTTGTAATTACAACAGTGGAACCTATTAATATTAGTAGTACTATTAATATTACTAATAGTAATATTAGAATTTGTGGAAACAACCATATTAACGTTAATCTATTACTAATATTACTTGAAATAGTTACTCATAAACTTTAAGTCTTTGTTCATGCCATGCAAGTTGTATTAATCATTTAATGTATCTAATTGTAACTTGTATGATTGAACTTAACACTCATCTAATATTAATAATTTATACAAAGATATGGTATTACTTACTATTAATTTAGTATTAATATAATAGTAAGTTATACTTAAAATTTAAATCTAAAAATTATTACAAATACAGTAGAAGTTTTAGAAGACAGACAGTAGTGCACTAGCAAACTGCTGAAACTTGGCTTTAAAAACAGTGAACTTAATCATTCATCAACTATTTCACTGGGTGGTTGCATTCATTTACTAGTCCATATATTAGATCAATAACTTTAACTACTTAATTAAACTAGAGACTGAACTTAAGTAAACTTTATTTACATATACTATAGATTAAATATGAAGCCACTCACTTTCTCTGTAGATTGTAAAGTTAAAACTACATATTAATAACTTAGTTAAATTAAGTTTGTTTTATTATACTCACTTTAGTGAAATACTTGTGCATATTTTCATTTGATGAATTACTATATTCATTATGCTATTTGTAAATATCTGCAGAAAATAAATAAAGAGAGTAAGGTGCTTAAAGCCACCTTGTTTTAAGTTAATGGAATGGATGGTTTACATTGAAATAAGATAGGGCTGATTGTTTGCTATTACAGCTGTACAGCTATTAACTCAGTTGTAAGGGAAGTTTTAAATTAGGACTAGACAGTGGTGAGGGCCAGGATAAACTAAATGCAAAAAGAATAATAGGCAGAGAAAAGTTTAGCAAAAGAAATTAGTATAGAAGTAGTTAAAAGGGGAGGCTTAATTGTTACTGTTGTAATGCTAGAAGTATAATAAATAAAATAGATGTCTTTAGAATACTGGTAGGAATGAAGGATTTTAATATAATGGGAATAACTAAAACATGGTTAAATGTAGATGATTTTGATGACAGAAATTTCTTTGAAATACAGGGTTACAGGCTATTTAATAGGGATAGAGTACTAAAGAGGAGTGGCTTAGTAAAATATGAGTTACATCCTGTTGAAGTTGAGGATATCAAAGATAATAGCAAGGAGATTGAATCCATATGGGTTTCTACTAGTGGATATAAAGGGTAAAGGCTTTTATTTGGAATTTGTTACAGACCACCAAATGATACTGATGAAATTAGTGAGAAACATTACAATGAGATTAAGATTTCAGCTGTTAATGAAATCATAATTATAGGTGATTTAAATTTCAGGCATATAAATTGGGAAATGTTAGAATCAAACCATGAGAGAGAAAGGTTTTTGGAAACTGTTCAAGATGGCTTTCTTCACCAATTAGTCAAGGAACCTACTAGAAACAATGCTATTTTAGATTTATTGTTAACTTCAAATATAGATATAATCAAGAAGGTGGAAATTGGGAAACATCTGGGTGCAAGTGATCATTGCTCTGTTAGGTTCAATGTTTTGCTGCATTTGGAGATAAGGAATAATGATATTTTGGTACAAATTTCTTAAAAGCAAATTTTGAACGGATGCGACAAGAATTATCAGTTGTGCATTAGGAAGCTGAGTTATTTGGAGACACTAATCAGATGTGGAAATTTTTAAGTATTCAAGGTAAACATATTCCTTATAGAAAGAAAAAGGTAGCTGCAAATAAAAAACCAGGTTGGCTCACGAAGAGTATAAGACATAAAATTAAGGAAAAGCATCATAAATTTAAATAGACTGGTATGACGGGAGATTAGAAGATCAAGAAAGTTAGTGAAACAGGAAATTAGGACATCAAAAAGGATGTATGAGAAAAGGTTGGCTGAAAATGCAAAACTTAATAGTAAGGATTTCTTTAAATACATTAAGGGTAAACAAAATGTTAGGATGGGGTAGCATCCTTGAGGGATGATAAAAGAAGGCTCATATCTGATGATTATGGGATGTCTAGGTTATTAAATTTTGCTTTTTCTTCAGTTTATACTAATGAAGATTTAAGCAATATTCCACATCTTGAACAGCTGATAGATGATAACAAGATGACTGCATTAATTCTGAACTGGTTAAGAAAAAATTGGGAAGTTTAAAGAACGATAAGGCTCCTGGGCCTCAATATTTTCCCGAGGGTTTTGAAGGAGGTTAAAGATTGGATATGTGAGACACTTACTACTATTTTTTGTCCGTCCTTGAATAGTCGGCAGGTACCAGAGAAATGGAAGTTAGCTAATGTAACTCCTCTTTTCAAGGGAGGTGATAAAAATTGTCTCAGTAACCCATTAGTCTTACATCAGTTGTGAGAAAAGATTTGGAAAGTCTGATAAAAGATGCTTTGTAAAGTCATTTAACAAAGTTTAGAATTTTAATGGATAGTCAACATGGTTCCACTAAGCAAATCTTTTAACATTCTTTGAAAAGGTTACTGCTTATGTAGATGAGGCTAAGTGTGTAGATTTGGTTTATATGGATTTTCAGAAAGCATTTGACAAGGTTCCACATAAAAGGCTTGTAAAAAAAATTATCTCTTTGGTGTGGGGAAAAAATTAGCAAATTGGATAGAAAAGTGGCTGGATGAAAGAAAACAGAAGGTTGTTGCAAATGGAGTTCAGTCAAAATGGATTAATGTTACAAGTAGGGTACCTCAGGGCTCAGTCTTAAGACCTCTGCTCTTTTTGATTTACATCAATGACATAGATGAGAGAATGGTCAATAAATTACTTAAATTTGCAGATGATATTAAGGTCTGTGAAGAGGATGCTGCTGATTTACAAAAGGATTTAGATCATTTAGAGAGTTGTGCAAATAAATTACAAATGAGTTTTGATTATAATAAATGCAAGATAATGCAAGTGGGTTATTATAATTTGAATTATAAGTATAATTTGGATGGGAATAACCTTAACAGTATCATGAAAGAAAGGGATCTTGGTGTAATAGTTTATCAGTCTCTAAAGCCATCCAAGCAGTGTGCTGTTGCTAGTGTTAGGGCAAATATGATTTTAGGTTTTATCTACAGAAGTATTGAATACCAGTCTAAATAGGTTATAATTTCATTGTACAGGTCACTGGTTAGGCCACATTTGGAATATTGTTTTTATTCTTGAGCTTCTTACCTTAGAAAAGACATTGAATTGTTGGAAAGGGTTCAGAGAAAGGTTATTAGAATGGTGCCTGAGATGGGCAGGTTGTCATACAAGAAGAGGTTGAAATCTCTCAAATTGTTTTCTCTTGAAAAAAGAAGATTTAGGGGAGATCTGATTGAGGTGTTTAAGATTGTAAAGTGAATTGATAGTGTTGATGCATCATCTTTTTTCATACTTAACAGTGAGAATGGTAGGGCTACGGGACACAAATATAAATTTTGGCAGGGTGGGAGTTATCTTAAGCTCAGAGTTTTATTTTTCTAACAAGGTGGTTCGCCTTTGGAATGTGTTGCCTTCAGATATTGTGGAGGCAGTAAATTTAAATGAGTAGAGAAAGCTTGATAAGTATATGAATGATAAGGGCTGGCTTTAAGATTTTTTTTTAATTTATTTATTAATAGTTTTAGTTTAGAGGACAGAATATCCAAGATTGACCAATAGGTACCATGTTGTCCCAGAATGTTATGTTAATCTAGTATTAATAATTAAATGCAGATGCCTTACCTTATCATTTCATTTCCAGTGGATAACAACAGACCATTTGTCTCATCTAGACTGCTCCAATTTCTATTACCAAAATACAGTGAACCTCTTAGATATTTTTTTCCTAGCTGGGCTGATGAAAGCTGATATAGAGCTGATTATGATATGTGATTTATTAGCCATTGTAAAGTAATATATTTGATAATGTGAAAATATTAAAATGTGTGAAATAATTAAGGTGGGAGTTGGCTGATGAGGCTTATTACCCTTGCAGTTCAGTTGGAAAAGCATCAATGTCAGAGTGGAATATTACTTGCGTAAAACGTTTTTACACATGTAACATTGTTACTATGTGCATAGTTTGCTGACACTGGGAGAAGGTTTAAGCAACTTAAGTTAGGAGAAGTGCTTGGAGTCTGGAGTTCAAAAGAGTTGGGGGAGAGGGGGACATGATCAAATTTGTAGTGGATTTGAGTAGTTTTGAGCTTTGAAAGCCTAGGTGTAGATTCACTTTGAGTTAAAAACTTGTAGAATGGTTTGCTTGATGATGAATAATGTGTAATATGAATCATTTTAAAATTTTGTTGAATAGGTTTATGGATGTAAAAGGCCATATTTAACTTTGATTAATTGTTTTTTTTTTATCTTTTATAGCAAGGGGTTATATTGAAGGAAATAGCCTTATTGTTTTATCTTTTCAAATGAAGTCAGTAAAATTATTTCACTAGGGTGGAATTAGACAACATTAATCAGCCCTATCTTTAACATTATAGGTTGAGGCTAAGCCAAACTTCAGGTTCTAGACACGTGTGCCAGAGCAGGTCCGGTAGACTGGGCAGCAGCCAGACCAACATTTTATCACAGTAACTGTAGGGCTTTTTAAACTTTAACTTGCACTTCAAATATTGTTTCTAGGTAAATAGATAGACTTATAGTAGTATGTAAGAATCAGTATAACAATGCATAATAAATTACATGTGTACATGCTTGTGCTTTCTTATAGCTATAGTGAGTATAAGTTCCAATGAGTACCTACTTTTGTGAATCATAAAGAAGTGCTTGCAAATGATTAATACTTCCAATAAATTATAGTAAAATTAGCACAAAATTCAATTTCAGAGCACCTGTTTTTCTGAGTTGTCTGACCAATCCAAAATTGCTTCCACAAACCATGCTAGATACATCTGTATCATTGAAGCTGTTAATTTATTTATTTACATTTTAAGTTTCTGTTTTTTTCCATACACACCACCATCCTGCTCCTCTAGTGCTCATAAAGAGTTGTTCCTTGTAAAGTAATGATTTAACAACCAAGCCACTATCTCTATATCATCAGCAGTTACAAACATCAAAATATTTGCTTATATGTACGTTTTGTAAAAAGGTGAACTATAATCCTCTTTCTGTATCTAACATTAACTTGCTTGTAACTAATTTATCTTTACTGCTATTTGCCATTAAGTTCTCAATATAACTTTAAACATCTCAAACATGTTTCTGAAACTAAAACTTTTAAATAAAGAATTTCCTTGAAGTCAGCATAATAAAATAGTACATTATTCTAAAGTGGAAAAGTGTTCATGCAAATTATATTTGATTTCAAATCTATATGTAACTAGCAAACTGAAAGATGATTTGTTTTGCAGCCAGAATTGTAGTCAGGACTATGACAAAGTAAAGAAGCTTATGAATACAAATGAGGCTGATTCCCACTTAACTGGATTAATGGAGGTATATGAAACATAAAAAAAAAATCATGGTTATTTTTTGTTACAGTAATTGTCAGTTGATTAGTGTAGTATGTTAGTTTAATGACACATTGAATTATTCTTGAGTTAAAGTAATATATCGAATTTTTGACAAAAAGATAAATTCAGTCTTCTCATTTGACAACCACTAGAGTATCTACATACACTTATAAACTTGTAATAGTGTAGTAGTAATATTGTAACTGATGTCATTTACTGTTTTCAATTAATATTTATTTTAATGTGTAAATGTCAGAATTAACTAATGATTATCTTATGACAGTATTTGAAATTTTCCTCTATTTTTTAATTCAAAATCTGAGTCAGAAATAGAACTGGGCAATTAAGAGTGTTTGCTAATTGATTAATATAATGTTTCTTTAACCATGGGATGTATAAATTAATTTGGTAAAAGTTTTTTATTTTTTCTCTCTACCTTAAGACTCTTAGACAAGCAGAGCAGAAGCTTTTAAGTTCTAGAATTTGGTTGGCTGATCCCAAGTTTGAAATATGGAAGGTATGAATCTTTTATACATCTGAATATATTTGAATTTACAGAGAGAGTATAATTTTCAGATATACTTTTGGTCCATTATAGATAATGCAATAATTTTTTAGCAGCATATGTAGTATAATTATTAGTTTGGATTTCATTAACAAGTTTTCAAAACACTGTTTGTAGTAATCATAATTTGAATGAAGATCAATATATTATAAATATTGTTTAACCTTATAACAAAAGTACTTAGTTTTAACAAATTTCATTGAACGTTAGTTAACAAAGACACACAAGAAAACAATTTGTAAGAAAGGGTACATGCATGATTAATGCACGTACGATGTACATACAAGAACTTGTATAAAGTCATGCTTTTAACTTGCAGATAAGGGCACACATGTAATTCTACTCAGTGTTCTACATCACATCACAAAATGTTAGTTTAAGCCAACTACACAGTTATATGTGACAAAAAAATTACCTTTTGTTCATGTTGTATGTTAGATTGTTACTGTTGTGGTAGTTTTATGTGAGAAATGTTATTTGTGGTGGGAATACATAAATTTTGCTCTTTTGTAGGAAGGCCTGTTAGTATTCTTTCATAAAAAAGTGCTTTCAAAGAGAGAGAGAGAATTGTACATATCAAAAATAAAGCTCTGATTAGTTTGCAAAAAATCTCCACCTGCTATATTTTTGAAAGGTGCTTACTTTAAAAGTTCCAAGGTTTTTGCAAAGACAGTTTCAGCTACGAAACAAAAATCACTGAAAAAGATATGAAATTTAAAGAGAAAATATGTGGTTTACATGAAGAATTATCATGTTGAACATCTGAAACAGACTAGTCACAAAGCATTATCATTTATCTTGCCGTACATATAGATCAGAACATTTTATATTGTATAAAGCATGATATTATTAAAAGTATGTGTAATAAAGTTTAATAAGTACATATTTGTTACTGTACGCATTGTGACAAGACACTCCAAAAATGATTGCTTTGATTTCAAAGAACACTATTTCTTTACTTTCATAGAAATAACTCACATAAAGTGTTTATGAAAAGAACTGCTTTAATTATCAAGATCTGTTCTTAAAAATGTTAGGATGTCAGGTTTTATAGGGCCAGATTCTTTACAGTAGATGTCTGTGACTTGTTAGCGATAAATTTCAACAAAAATATACAGCATACAATCCACTTGTTTTAAAATAATATATTCAAACAAGTCAAACGTATGTACAAAATATTATTTACACAATAAGTTATTACAGTTGTATTCAGAGCCTTAAATAACTGTCTCTTTTTCATCAGTGTCCAGACAGGTAGGTTCAATTACTTTAGAACATCCTTTGACTAGACAAATTATTCTCCTCTACTCTGTTATTACAATACAATCAGTGATAAATTCACTTTTGTTACCAAGTGGGTTACCACATTTGAATCCTGAGCTTTAAATAATTCTCTTTTACATCAAAAGTCCACACAGGCTAGTTCAGTTACCTTAGAACCCAAATGACAAGTCGAATTATTCTTCTCTATCTATGTTATTACAATACAAGCTGTGAAACTCATTTTAGAAATTGCCCATTAAGGCTAATTTACATGTAGTATAAATACACTTTTACTATCACTTTCACTAAATTCCTCCCTGTATCTGCCCGTATTTAAAATGCAACAGAAAAATTTTGAAATATCTAACCCTCTGATAACAACAATATTATACCTAACAAGAAAAACTTAGAAGCTTCAAGTAAGATGACATCAACAATATTACAAAAGCATAGTACAACAATTAAACTACATACACAATGTATGACTGGTACAGTTACATAACATTTATCATAACTATTGCTTTTAAAATAATTAACTTTTAACACTCCTGTTATGAAAACTAAATAATCATTAAATATGCTAAATAATAACTCTTAAACTGAACAGTCTTGTTTATCCAACATAGAATATTGTATTTAAATCAGTATTTCTGAGTTAAGATTCTTTTTTATAAAACAACAGTGAGGATATGAAACTGTTGCATATAAAATTTCCAGTCATGACTTAGCTTTACGTGAGCTAACAGACATTTTTTATTTTTGTGTTATTTGTAAAAGCAACTTAAAATCATGATTGTATATGTAGTAACCAAGCTGATTAGAAATAGCCATTCAACTTATTGAGGTTACCAATACCACCACAACTCCAATTTTAGAAACATCACATCAGTAAAATGATACTTTAATATGATATTTCTGTTGATGTTGGTTTGAGAAGTATAAAAATATTTATTTTATTAAAATGTTTCAACAATTTCAGTTATTTTGCAAAAGTGAAGATTAGTCACTGGAGTTTTAGTTATACATAATCTAGTATACATTAAAAAATGCAAATAAAAACTTTTCTATACAGCTTGATTTAGAAATAGGCAATTAATTTATTACCAATGAACATAGATTACATTGACTAGTGTCACATAAAATAATAGATTAATCAAAATTACGATTAAACCATTTAATGTCCTTAAAATAATCAACCAGTGTTTCCAATTATTCCAGCTATCCAGTATTGAAAATAGCACTTAAAACAATTAATACTTGTTGCAAATATATTCAGCTGATTGAAGTTAGTGTTTTTTCTCATTATTTTTCATTAATATAAGTTTGTTCAGCATAATCGATTAGTGTCATGACTGACAAAAATAATCAATTAACCAAAACAAGGGTTTCTTATTATTACTATTTTTGATTATTCTAACTATTCACTAACTTCTTTTTTTTTTTTTGCTCTTTTGTAATTTAAGCTACCTGTTAAATTGTTTGATATAATGAGTAAAGGGAGAAAGGCAGCTGTAGTGGTATTGTGACAATGTCTGTGCTCTGTCCACCGTAGATATCAAAACCAATTTTTAGAATTATAAGTTATTTTTAAAGCCATGTTGTGAGAATAATTGACAAGTTCAATGTGTTCAATATGTGAGCTAGATGATTAATAGATTAGCAAATTCTATTAATTGCCCAGCTCTAGCTTGAATTGAAGAATTTTCTTCTATTACAAATCTATAAAATTTATTTCCATAATGTCGTAGAAGAGGATTTGAAAAGAATCAAATCATTATATAGATAGCCACACAATACAAATGTGTGAATGTATAAATAGCTATTTATTAGAGATATAGCTATAACATATAAATAACTTTATCACTACTTAAGGTACCTTTTAAATCGATAAATAGGTTATCTGATAGAACTGTGTTTTAATATATGATTTTAGAGTATTCTGTAGTCATATACATTTATATAATTATACTTTTAAATAATTAGTAATGAAGAAAGGGACAAAGGCAGCTGTGTTGTGACAATGCACAAGTTATTAAATGGCATTTATATGTAAAAGCTATACAGATAAAATAGCTGTGAAAGTGTTTTCATTAAATCATTCTTTAAATGATTCAGATACTGGGTTTATATATTGCACATAATGATACTGTTTTGTTACTATTGCTAAAGTATTTATTTAATAAGCTTACTGGAAGACAACTATTGGTAGACTAATAGATAATGTCCATCTTTTTTCAGTGCTTAGTTTTTATTTTCAAAATGTCTAGGTTTAGTCATCTCCAGCATCAATACAGAATATTTGCATATGTTTGTATGTTATGGTGGAATTACAATATGTGGTGAGTTTAAGTTTTTGTTAACATATTTTTTATTATCATTATATGATAACATGATTGTTTCTTTTCTGTTTTAATTTTAGAGATTGTACTGGAAGAATGTGCAAAATTCATTATCTCATTGGAACCAAAACCAGAAAAGACCTAATGATGTTAAAGAAAAACATTCAAAATACAGTCAAATTTAAACAATTCTATGGTTGCAATAGGAATTATTAGTACAAGAAAGTTGTGTAAAAGAATAACTTACAATTGCTAGAAAATTTCATTATTTTCTATTTATCTGTGAGTATTTGTTCTAATAAATACTTATACCATAGTGTTTTTGAAAAAAAAAAACTTTTTATTTAATTAGTCAAAAGAAAAGCGAGAACCATACACCTAAATAAAAGAAGAAAAAAAAACAGAGATTAATTGGTGAGTGGGAATAATACCAAATAACAAAAACTGAGGCATGCCCAGGGCAAATAAACAAAATGAAAAATCCCCATCACACCAAACATGCTCACCCTTTCAGCTGTGGGGTGTTATAATGTTACAGTCAATCCCACTATTCATTGGTAAAAGAGTAGTCCAAGAGTTGGTGGTGATGACTAGCTGCCTTCCCTCTAGTCTTACACAAATAATTTAGGGATGGCTAGTGCAGATAGCCCTCGTGTAACTTTGTACGAAATTCATGACAAACAAACACATTTGACCAACTTTACTACGTCAACAATTATGAGATTTAGTCAATGACAAAAACAGTGTACATAATATGCCATTTCACCACCAGTCATTTCATGAATTCTTCTTTGCACATCATTTAAATCCCCAGACACCACAGAAACACGATCATATACTTGTCCAACACCATTCTTCAGCAGATACTCTCGTCAGACTTGCAAGGATGGTATCTGTTAGCCCATTAGCATCCAATGTATGGGCCTCGGAAATGCCAAGAAACTCTATAAAATCATTTAATTTCAGTGGATTTTCATCGGATATTAGTATTTTACGAAAACATTACCTAACTTCAACGGTGTAAAACAGCGTGTGTGGCCAAGGAGACAAAGCTAGTTAGCTACCTGGCGAATCTACTTATATCAACTCGCTCATCGTAAAACCTCTATAAGATATCAAGGAAGTTCCAGACTAGAAAGAAAACTTTATATTGTTTGTAAGTTTGTGAAACTTTTGTTTATGAATCATTGTTTGTAATAACTATTTGTAATAATTGTTATTGTAAATTGTATGGTTGTGTGTATATTAAAACGTATTTGTGTTAAAAACGAAAACGGTGTGTATCAATCTTGTTGGCAAATATTGTAAATTGACTAATATATCGGAATTATTTAAATACTAAATCTAAATTATTTAACTCGGCTTCGGACTATTAAAAATTCTAATACGTAACATAATAAATTGGGAGCTCGTATCCGAGACTTGAATCAGAGAAAAAATTCGATCTAAATTGAAATTTAAATCAGAATTGAATTTATATTTATCAGTGCCAACAAGATTTGATCGTGTCTGATTATCACGATTTTCTTGTATTACCCTCCCTAGAACAGCTAGAAAAATATAACAAAAATAAATTGCTCGAAATCGCCAATATTTTAGAAATAGAAATTAAAAGATCAATGAGAAAAAATGAACTAAAAAGTGTATTATCGAAATACTAGTTGATGATGATTTGTTGTCTGAGGAAGCATTATAGGAATACACCGGTGTCCCTACTAGCCAATCGGGGTTGAGTGATAAAGATAAATTAGATCCATCTAAAACTCAAACAAATCGAGCTTGGAGAAGCTGAAAGAAAAGACAAACGTCTCGAAGCCGAAAAAGAAATTAGGCTGAAAGAAATGGAAACTAGATTTAACACCGATCGACCAAGGCAAAGTGACAACATTGAACTTAATTGATATGTGAAAGTACCACCATTTAATGAAAATGAAGTTGATAAATATTTCCAACATTTTGAAAAGGTTGCCCAAACCATGGAATGGCTCACCGAAAAATGGTCATTATTATTACAAAGTGTCTTAACTGGTAAAGCACAAGAAGCTTATGCCGCTCTCTCTTTAGAAGATTGTACAAATTATGATAGTTAAAGCAGCTATTCTCAAAGCACACGAGTTATTACCGGAGGCTTATTGCCAAAAGTTTCGAGGTTATCGCAAACAAGATAATCAAACTTATATGGATTTTGCCCACGAAAAAGAGGTTTATTTTAATCAATGGTGCAATTCTATGCATATTGGCAACAGTTTCGACAAACTAAAACAATTATGTCTAATTGAGGAATTTAAACGTTGTACACGTGATGACCTCAAAAACTTACTTGGATGAAAAGTAAGTTGAAACACTACAGGAAGCAGCCATTCTTTCCGATGACTACACTTTAACACATGAACCACTTTTCATAAAAAGAAATTCAAAACAAAAACAAACATATTACTATAAACACGTTTTTTCAATTATCGCCCTTACTTTTAGACACGGACGCTAGGATTTGTTTGTTTTGAATTTCGCGCAAAGCTACACGAGGGCTATCTGTGCCAGCTGTCTCTAATTTAGCAGTGTGAGACTAGAGGGAAGGCAGCTAGTC